GTGAACTGGCCAGGGACCAGTGAATCTCAGAGCTCCTTTAATTTATGTCTCACTGCACATTGCCCAGATGACTTTTTTAGCATCTGGAAATCACCAGAGCAAAGAAGCAATCTGGTCCAATCCCCTTTCTCCTGCCATGCCCCCACTCCCCCCCCAGGAGTCTGACCTGGCTATCTAGCCATTATCTCTAGGGAAGTGGAGTTCCAGATGCGCTTCAGCCTCTTTACGCACCAGAAGGGTCACATCAGGTGGAGACCAGGCCTAGGTCACTGCATGTACCCCCAGGATTTCTGCATCGATGATGAGGTGCAAGTCTGCAGCACAGCCAAAGTCAGGGCTCAGCAGCAGTGGGGGCAGTGGCAACGGTGCAATTTCTGCACTGACTGTGGGGCTGCAGCCCAGTCAGAGCTGGCACCCAGCAGCAGTGTGGACAGTGCACCACCACCCCCCACGCCCCCACTGGCAACACTTACACATCGTCGATGCCTATGATCATGTAGTAGTGACCTAGCACTGCTACTGAAACCTCTAAAAACTCTACAGTGGCTTGAGCGAAACTTGCTCAGTCCCTGCCAGAACTGGGCCCACATCACACTTGCCATCTACTGGGTGCCAACAAAGAGACCATGGTTCTAACATTGTCACTAGAAAGAATATTTCCCAATTTTGACAACAGCCTTCACCAGCACGGGTAGGGAATGCTAGCTGTACTGCAGTTGGGTTCCTTCCTAACAAACAGGATTGTCAACCCTCCAGAATTGCCCTGGAGTCTCCAGAAATTAGATATAAATCTTCAGGAGACTGCTGAGAGTCACTCAGGAGATAAATGATAGGGCATTCATGAAAATAAATATTAAATATTGAATCTAGTTTATATGGTAGTCCAGCGGGTTTTTAAAATGTAATAGTAATGTGCATTTGCCTTCCTGATATAAAGTCTATGCACCATAATCTGTAACAGATATACACAAACACACAGGCATGTTCGCATTGTGTGTTGCGAGTATGTTGATGTTTTGGAAGCCTCCCGGAATAAATTCAAACAGAGCTGTCAACCCTACTAGTAAACCAAGCATGCTGGAGCAACCACACTGGGCATTTCATTCCATCAAGCCATGAAAAAGGGATTGTTTGGAGCAAGTAGGCAGCAACCAGGAAACTGTCTCAAAGTTTCATGCAATAGCATATAGAGCACTAAAGCCAGGGATAGCTCTGGCCAACCACAGCGGTGCCAGCTGTGTGTTCAGATCATCAACCTCCAGACTCCTCCCTTGGGGCATTGTATGAATATGCGTGTGTGAGGGAGCGGGGGAAGGTACGCACGCACATGCACATGCAGATACACATTCTTGCCCCCAAGCGCTGAGCTCAGATGCTGCGATTAGCCTATAGAATTCATTGCCAAAGTTTATTAAGATTCCAGAAAGTTTAATTTTACAAAGATTTCAAATAGATTGATTCTGTTTAATCTCTTGCAATAAACCAGGTTCACAGACCTCAAATCATTCACCAGCTTTCCTAAATCCATTTGAATTTACCAGGCTCCTTTTTGATATGCAGCCACCAGAACTGGAGGCCGTATCTAATACTGAAATCGCTACACGATGGGGACTAAGACAAAATTTCCTTGTGGGCAGGTAATTCCACAGCTGCTTATACTGAAGAGTCCCTGTATCTTCTGCCACTGCCAGAAACAGGACACTGGATAAGTTGGACAATTCCAGTGTTTCCTATGTTTTTCAGGACTCAGAGGGGGGAATCAGTGGAAAGAAAAACCCAGTGTATTTTAAATCTGTATTATCACAGTGTAGCCAGGCTGTGGCAGCACTGGTTTGATAGTGTTCCCTGCTGCCCACTCTTTTGTGTTGGGTCTACAATGGGAAATAATGCTACTGCTAGCCCAGCCCACAACGTGTCTGCTCCAGTGCACGGAATGGTAATAAGACAGCAACTGTGAGAAGGGTAGCAGTCGCCTCCCATCCCCCTCTGGTGAGAGGGTTAGTGAAAGCGTATCATGATTATCAAGCAATGGAGCAGGAATAGCTGCTACTGGCTGGAAACCATGGGATTGTTTCAGGATAACTCCACAAATAACTTGGGTGGTGCATCCCTGTGTGGCCATGATGGTCAGGAATTAACCCAAGGGATAGAGAACACTGAAAACCCAGGGGTGCAGAGCAGGGAGTGGGGCTCAGGGAGAAGCTGGGTCTTAGGACATAGGAATTATCAGGTCAGTTCAAATTCATGCTCAGGGTCTGGGATTTGATAATGCAGGACTACACACTTCATAAGAAAGTGGCAGAAACCCTTCCATAATAGATATAAGATAGGCTGCCCTATGCAGATTTTCTCTGGGTCTACACTAGTTAGAGAGTAGAGTCTAACCCCTAAGACAGGAGGCTTGGTCTCCCTTCCAATGCTCTTTTACTAGCATTAACTATTAGCTAGAGAAACATGGTTTCTGCACAGCTGAGGATCTCAGCCCCAGTCATCATCTTCCCGGGCAAAGTGTACGAGAGCGCATGACTGGGCCATAAGTCCTCCCTGACAAGCTGGCCTGCCCCTGTTCACCATACCCATCTGCTCCTTCCCCATTGCTCTCCCACAGCTGGGCAGCCAACTCAGTAGCTTTGTTTGGAAATAGGACTTGTGTTTGCTGCACCCCGCTTTCTCCATCTCTTAAATGGGGCTTATTGTGACCCTGCTTCCTGGGGGTGGTGAGGATTAACCATCTGCAAAGCCCCAGAGCCTTCCAAGGAAAGCACTGGGTGGTGTTATCATCTGGGATTTAGAGAGTTAAAGCAACACCTTGGGAAAGAGAAAAAGTGCAAGCCAGCAGGCTATGGGCTGGAGGGATGTACTCTCTAATGACTTTACAGAAGCAGATGGCAAGGCCCCTTTGGTTACTCCAGCCACCTGAGCTTCCAAAGCCATCTCCACAGAATATGAGCTCAAACCTCCCCAGCCCTGCTCACCAAATCCTTGCCATGTTTCCTTCTGCTGCCAGCACCTTCTCAGCCTCATTCAACTCAGCTTCCCACCAGCTCATTCCCACCCCAGTGTTACCTAGGCCAGGACTCCAGAAGACCAAAATCCTTTGCATATTAAGGGTATCGCAGGACAAATGGAGTAGGGGGGAGGGAAGGGGGATTGACTGTATCAGCCATTTCCCTTAAAAAGTTGTTTGTGGAAGAGGAGGGCCCATATCAACAAGTGCCCTGGGCTCACAAATAAGACACCAGGTATGGTAGCAGGTGTTGCTGACTGAGAAGACATCGCTGTCCTCTGCTCTCTACAGGTCCCACCCTCAGTAGGGGCAGAGATGGGGTTCAAGGACCCAGGTCCAGATTCCCCTCTCCATCTGCTCTCCAGAACTAAACTCTGACAGCCTTGCTCTGCACTCTTGGAAGTCATAAAAGGGTCATTAGTGCTGGGAACAAGACTAGGGTCCTCCCCAACCAAGATGGTACCTTCCAAGCTCCACCCCAAAGTACAGCTCACCAGCTCCTGCCCAGACAGCGGGGCATACAGCTCCACATGCTCCCTCCATTGGAAAACAGAACACCCACCTAGCACTTCCAATCCATTCTCCTGCCAGCCTCCCTGAGAAGGCCCCAGCACCCTCCTCCATAAATGCAGGATGTTTCAGGCAAGGGTTCTTTCAAAATTCCCATAACTCCCTGACTGCCTTATAGAGAGGAGCCCAAACCAATTGTAGACCACTCACTGTACCTTGTCTGGGGTCAAGAGAGACTTCACTCCAAAGCTCATGCAGCCAATCAGTTCACTCTGTCTGGAAAGGATTGGGAAAAGGGTTAGCATGCCCCTGCTGAAGTCCCCCTGCGGCACCAGCCCTACACAAGCATATTTGTCTAAGGGCTTCCCCTTCAAGTACCAACTCACAAACTCCACTTGCCCTACAGATCTATGGGAACCTCCCCACTCCCAGCCCTGCTCTGACCTCATTCCCCATGCCAAGAGACCCAGCTCCCTTCAAGAGTAATATTAACACAAGATTAAAGAGACACAGAGAGCCACCAGCCCCCACCTATTCCAAGTTATGTTTTTCCACTCTGCCTGAGAACAAGGCCTTTGACCAATGTCTGCTCTTCCCACCCTGTCTTCAGCCTCCACTTTGCTGGTCAGGCTAATTGTGATGTTGTAACCCTGCTAATTGTGATGTCACCTCAGTCATAACCATGGCTGGATTTCTACTTCATAGGGCTGTGTCTGCCATATCAGGGACACATCTTGCATCTCAGTTGGTCAAAAAACCCACAATTCTGTAAAAGAGTGTAGTCCAATCTGCACAGAAGCCCTAGTTTTGCTGTTTTACCCTGGACAGACATTGTGCTGAGGGAAAGATGCAGGTTGCATACCCAGGCAGGACTTCTGGCCCAGCAGACAGACCCTGGAAAAAGCACCTGGCACTTATATCCAGATCTCATTGGTGGCAGAGCACAACACAGGTCTCCATGTCCCAGACTAAGGTACAAAGATCATGTTCACCTCACATTAGCATTGCTGACAAATCCCATGCAGAGGCCTGAGATTCCAGTACCTTCTCCCAACTTTTAACTTGGAAACAATAAGGGTGGAAATGGAGTTTGGCATTTGCTTCAGTTTTATGAGTTAAATTACAAGGGACGTTTTTATGTATTGTTTTAGAGCAGCCTTGTCATTCCCACCTTTGGGGCAGCTCTCTTTGGAAGTGGAGAGCACTGAAGGCAGCTTCCAGAGCCTTTATTTGAAGGAGGGGCTGAACCATTAACAAAGAGAGCTTTTCTGCCCACTGTTGCTCAGACATTTGAGTCAATATGAATTCCACCCACCCCCAAAAATGTAAGACAGTTTTGAACGGACTTCATAAAAACCTCTTCTCCTCCCAGCTAACTTCCTTCCTGCTTGAGATGCCACAATCCCACCAGCTCTCCAGAGAGTCCTTAGGACAACAGAGGAAACAAGACCTGAATTTCTAATGTTAAAGGGATACAGTGAAGCCATTTAAAAGCACTTGCTTCTGGAAGGCCTTCTTTCTAAGCAATATCTCCAATAGTTGCGCCTCCTATGGCAGCAGGGAGATATTCTTTACTACAGAATGGACTGACTGGGTTATGTCCCAGGAAGACAACTACCCCACAGCACTGCTTTAGCACAGAAACTCTTCTGAGAGTGCAGGAGGTAAAGGATTGAAGAAACATATCACTGAGCTCAGGCGGCTAATGGGCAGCCAGCACTGGCTGAAGCAGGTCAGGAGGCAGGCAGGGCTTTCCTGGCAGGATGGAGCTTAAAGGACCCAAATACCTTTCCCTTCAGTATTTCTTGGATGCTATAAACCTGGCAAAATCTTCAGGTCTGCTCCATATCTACACACGGGTGGAGTGTGCCATGGCATTAGCTGCTGCTCATGTGAGGTCTGATCACCTGTTATGGAAAGAGCACCCATGGTGACACCAGTGTCCACTTGGGGAAGCTATTCTGTAGAAAAAATACTTTCCATAAGCCATGCATAGGAACTTTCAAGCAGCAGACCAGGTAACCAGAGAGCCACCCGTGGGCTGCCACAGGCATCAGTGTGGATAGACAATGGGTGAGCTTCCCCAAGGCAAAATTCTCTCTCAGCCACATTATCCAAAACCGTATGCAAAATGCTGCCCTGGCCCTAGCAAAGTCTTCACTAGGAGTTGAATTTGCTTAAATATCACCCCACTGTAGGGGGATGGGAGAGTCAGAGACAGAACATGGAGCCTTCCAGCAGCCAACAGAAATGGAGGAGCAGTTGGGTCAGGTCGATCAGAAGCCTGCGCGCCACCCCTGCCCCGAATGAGGAAGCAGATCCAGGACACGTGTCCTCCTCTTCCTGCAGATATCTGCACGTCTGGCTTGAGAAGACCTGAATGCAATGCCAGGGCTGCTCAAATGAAACAGCAGCAGCCTGCCCTCAGTCTACTCACACAGCAGTCCCTGATGTCAAGGCTGAGCCATGGGACAAAGGGCTCTACAAGAGCTCACATGAAATTAACCAGAGCAGACAGGATGGTTCATTTTCTTAAAGAGACAGTTCTCCAGCATCCCAACCCCAGCCCCATCCTAGCGGCACCTTTACCTGGAATTCCTCTCGCGGTTCCAGACTGTAACCAGAAGACGCTTTTGTTCATCTTCCTCTTGAACTGGGCTGTGACACAAGCCAGAGAAGATGGGATGTGAGTGCTACTCACCCAGAAGTACTAAGCATTTGGGATTTTTAGCATGCTTTTACTGCCACAGTTCTGCCTCCTCAGACACAGGCACTTGCTCCAACCTTTTCTCCACAACCTGTCCCTTGGATCCCACACACATCTGCATGGCAAGAAGTACAGAGCACAGTCTTCTCCAAAGAGCTGCTGTGCACTCTTTTACCAAAGTGCAAGCTCCAACCCATTTTTATTACATAATAAAGAACTCTTGCTTGCATAGTTAAACAACAAGCCATTTGTTGTCGATACACTACTAGAAGGGAGGTAAACTCTTTAGGGCAGGTGATGAAACACAGCTCAGGTTGCTTAGGGGGAAAAATTCTTACAGGAAGATACATGTTAAGCATCAAAGTAAAAACACACCAAGAAAACCAATAAATCATGCTGTTAAATAATCACTCTGTTGCTGAATTAAATATTTTATGAGTGTAGAGATCTCGCAACAGCAGGTCTGCAAGAGATAATGAGATCTACCAAAATGCTACAAGCCAGGGGGCTCCTTTACCATGCAAAGACATGCGAGAGCTTTGGGAAAGCCTTTTACCTTCCTTGTTCATACCGATCCCCCGTTTCATTGCTGGCTCAGTATCTAGGAAATGGAGTTTGTTTCCCCGACTCCATAAGGATGTATAGAAGTTACCCAATAAGAAACTCCAAATGGGCAGGAATATTGCTGTCATGCTGTGTATTGACAGCTTTGTGAGCTTCAGCAAAGCTCTGTTCAAAAGTTCAAGGCATTTCAGCTACAAGAAACAGCAAAATAATGTCTGTCACTCCTCATTTCAGTATAAAACCTTGTCATGCATGATGCATGTTTATTAAAGATAATAGTTGAAGAGCCAATGCTGGGTCTTGGCTACAAGAGGCTCACAGAGCACAGCTACTGCGCGAATTCGCTTCCAATCCCATTCAGAACACATGCCCAGTTTGGAACACAGCACAATAGGATGGGGCTGCATCTGACCATTCATACTCACAAGAGAAAGTGCTCGTGGAAGACGGGATTTTTGCTGTCCAGCACAGTCTTGGTCTTTTGCCTGCATTTCCGATCAGTGTCCGGTACTATAGACATCTTCATTTGGAGAAACAAATGGCACATTAGCTATCTCTCAGCAAACACAAACTCTGGCGAGTCATTAGCTCATTGGTGCTATAATTATCAGGAGACCTGCAGAACCAGCTGCATGGATGGCTAGGTCTCAAAGACTGAGTTGAGCCTATGCTGGCCACATTTACAGATCACTTGGGATTGTACATGTCTAGCAACAACATGACAAAACTTCCTAGGGTAAAGCAAGCAGGACAAATGCTGCTCATGAGCAAATACTATGGAAAAAATACAAGTTAAATATCAGAAAATCCAGGGGTTGATTTAACAGCCCCTGACCCCTCCCACCAAGGGGTTGAAGACCTGCAGTAGGAGTGCATCATACACCATATTGTATGGTGCATTGCATCATATAATAGCATGCATTTTTGTTCAGTCAGAAAAGAGAGACAAATAAATGACTTATTCAGGTGTCATCTGCTAAACCTACCCCTAGTGTCTGCGGCACTTTTGCTACTGTTTGCCCAAGGCTGAACTCCTTTCTCCCTTTTCCTTAATCTGCATGATGGAATATTCTTGCAGAAAATGGTGTGCATAGGCACATAATCCTTGTTAACCCAAACCCAAGCAAAAGCCACTCAGCTGGCATCCAACTCCATGTGAGCAGTGATGCTGTAGCAGTAAATTCATGGTCTGAGGCTGACAGCCCCACAGGAGCAATTAACACAGTGATCCAGCATCTTGCAAGAGACCAGCTGTCTTCGCTCACCTGATGCAGGAAAAACACTTCGCGACAGATCAGTCGGAGGAGAGGTCATTCGAGACAAATGGAGAGGTCCATGAAATGGCTGTGACTTGATTTATGCACATCCCCCAACTAGGTGTGGGGAAGGGTGATAGCCCAGCGCGTGGTTGGGGAAATATACCTCAAAGTCAGGAAGGGCACCAAACAAGATTGTCCTCACAGCACACACTGAACCCAGAGCTCTGCAACAACTGCAGAAGAACCCACCTTCACATAAGAATCACACGTCCGGTACTCTTTGCCCATCAGGCCTTTTGCTTCCATAACTAAAAATAAAATTAAATGTGGTTGGAAAAAGACAAGAAAAATAACATCTTCCCCCCGCACTGTGCTCCGAGAATTCTCTGCTGCCCCGGCACTGCACATGGACAGCAGGGCTCTTCTTTGCTCAGAGCCTGAGGCACAGGATTAAACCAAAGTCTCGCATAGAGGGCACAGGCTGGAAGGTGACCCTCCTGGCAGGCTCCCTACATGCACCTCCCCAGCACCATGGGCACCCTGGCAGCAGGGCAGGCTGCAGAGAGAAATGATCAATGGGTGTAGTGTTTTTAAGTAAAATTGTACTACAAATATTGGCATCCTTAAGTGAAGTTTAAGGCAGATACAGTTCAGCATCCAGGTGACAAATTGCATTTCATGTGCCTGACTTCACACAATTCAAGGGCCCAAGGCACCTTACCCCAGGGCCAAGTGTATCATCAAATCAAATATCAAAAGCTCTGTGCTGATCTCAGCTCCGCCTATGCAAACCCAATATTGCTCCACTGACTGCAGCAGGGAGGTGTCATGTTTTCCAGCTGTGTGAGAGAAATCAGAATCTGTCCCCAGTGCACAGATTGTACGTGGCAGTCTGTCATGGCTGAGCAAAGGTCATTCAGAACATGCCCAGCAAGGTGGCAGTGCCTTTTGCATTCAGCTGGGAGATGCATGCATTTCTCTTCATCAGAGCTGGGACCATTGGAAAATGCAATTCACAGTGCAGCAAATGCTATGGGAGCAGAGTGGGTTCAGCAAGGACCCACTGTTCTCGCATGCTATTTTCCAAAACTGTGTTTGGGGCTGGCCCGCCCCAAAGGCTAAAAAGGATTATTGTGTTCATTCACTTTGGCTTCCAGCATCACCAGAGGATCCCAGCCACGGATGTCTTCAGTGACCTCACAAGTTGTGGCTGACCTGAAGCAGATCTTTTAGAAAGGAATTCCCAGTCTTAGTTTAACACCATCAAGTACCAGAGAGTCTACCCTATCACTAGTCAGCTCTTCCAGTGATTAATTGCTCTCTCAACACTGTGTTGAATACACATGCTTTACTTCTAGCCCAGATCTCCCTAGCTTCTGCTTCCTTGGATCCTATTCTATCTTTGTTGGGTTAAAGAGCTTCCTGCTGTCTGCACATGATGGCTCAGTTTGTCCATAGGCTCTCACTCAGGGAAGCAAACACTAGTCAAACATATACTAGAATATGCTTGGTGGGATCTCTCATGCAGCCATTGGCTAAGGGTTGGGTGGTCTAGTTATGTGTGGTGGGGCTTCCTCCATGACCCCTGCGGAGCTGGTTACTACCCTCCATGGGAGTGGTACTTGGTTTTCAGCCTAACACTTCTTCTGTACCTTCATCCCACTGAGCCCCTTGGGATTCGGCAGCCCTGCTCCATGGGGATGGAGGGATACTGCCCCTTTGCACCTGACTCCACTTCTAATAGTTTTCTCAGATCAAGGAGAACAGATGCATTCACAGGGGAAGGGGTTTTATTCCAGCTATGACTCAGCTTTTTGCAAACTGAAAAAAAAGAAGATGGGAGTCAGCTGTTTAGCTAAGGGTGGGTGAGTGGGGCACAACCAGCCCCCAGTGCTAACTTAGAACATCCTACTTATGGCTCTGATAGGCATCAAGGTTAACAACCCAGCACTAAATTCCCTCACTTCAGGAATGAAGAGGTCCCAATATATATATGTGAGACCTCCAATAAAGCAGCAAAGGTACCCAACACTCCTGATCCTCTAAAGGGAAGAGAGCTGCCAAGAGTGGGTCTTTCTGTCCTTCTTTATGCAGCAGAATGAAGCGCTGATGACTCCATTTCAATTTTCTGCCAGGCACCTTTAACATTCTCCAGTGACATGCACTCAGCCCCACTGCTGGGGTTAAGCATTTTGCTCCCCTGTGCCATGTGCACTGCTGTATAGCACTGCTCATCTCTGAAAAGGCATCCAGCAAAATGCATATGACACATTAACATCACTTCAGGGGCTTTCACTCTCCTGTGGCATGAGGACTGCACTGAGGACATGGCTTTGCACTGAATACCATGGTGTCAGATGCACAAAGGCAGTCAGGCATATAAAGATACAGACAGGCATCTAGTAGAAATTAAAGAAGAACTACTCAACAGGTCAGGTGCCCAACTCCCCTTAAAATCCATGGGAGTTAGGTGCCTAATCCACTTGACACCTATTTGCATCTTAGGCACTTGACTCCCCTTGTAAATCCCTCCCTGACATACTGGCAGCTGCTGTGGAATCCAGTGGTTTTAAGAAGAGCCTGCTGGGCACTGCAAGCCCCTTTCCACCACTCCACTGCACTTTATGTGCAGCAGTGGCTGGTGAGCATTCAGGAGAAGTGGGGATCACTCAGCCCCTCCCAGCACAGTGCCCCATTTCAGTGCAGCACAGGCCAGCAAGACCCTTGAGGTAGGGTGGAACGAGCTCTGGGGGTCATACTATTTGAGGCTAAACAGCACAATGCCTACACTATCAAGTGGAAGTGTTGGGGGCTTGTACCCCCACTCCCAACTGAAGCCCCATGCAGCAGCAGCATAGTCAGCCTACACAGAGAATGAGGACAGCAGCACTCCAGCGAGGAAGCCAGCTCCTCTTTCATGCTCCAGAGGGTTTGACAGAGCCCACTGGAATCAAAGCGATTTGGGAAACTGTGCTGTAGCTGTAATGTTGAGCTCAGTGATTCTGGCTCCTAGGGGAAACAGAGGAAAGGAAAGGGATGGACAGAGAGTGATGTGCAGACAAGCAGGCAGAGAGGGAGGAACTCTGGCTCTGCTCTCAAGAGCTAACCCCAAGCTGGTTGGTAATGGATTTGCAGCCATCACTGTTAGAAAGTTTAGTGCCAGTAAATGCCCTGGGTGCTGTCAGAGACCTAAAGCATAGCCTCATCCCACCAGGCTCCCATACCAGGTCCATGAGTGCGCCAGCCAGAAAGGGCCCCTGTATTGGGGCTACCCTGAATAGGTCCTGTGACTGCAACACTGCTGACTCACTCATGGGAGAAGTGAGGTATGGTACAAACCAGGAAGGTCCTGCCAGGAATGAACCTGCTTCACCTGGTTAAAAAACCTGACTAGAGCAGGGTCAAGGAAGGTAAAGGGCAAAGCACTGCTCTCCTCACACAACGCAGACCCCACTGATGAGACTGTACGGACCCCCCTGTTCTGCCCCACAGTGCTCTGTCCCTTCTTGCACTGGCTGCGCCATGTATAAAGGTTGAGGAGCCTATTGCCACCTTAGCAATAGGGTTGGCCCTTTCAGGTCCAATAGCACACTCTCATGGCAGAGAACCCCCAGGAGAGCTGGGTGCAACTCTTCAGGGAGCAGGGAATTCAATAGGCAGAAACGGGCAGTTCTGGGGCCACCAAACCTATTTGCAAATTTGAATCAAATTTGGCAAATGGCATTAGCCAAAAAAAAAAAAAAAAAAAAAGGAAGGGAAAATCAGAAGAGACAAAACATCTTGACTTTTCCTTTTAAAATAATATTTGCATTTTGAAACAGGCAGCATTTTCAAACAATGGAGTTAAAAATGATTAAATAACCTAAACAGGAAAAGTTTCAATCCACCCGCAATGGAAATGTTCACTCCCAGCAGTGGACCCCGGTGTATAGCACTTGGGCCTCTGCAAGACCCCACAGAGGGTGTCCTCTCTAAAGCTGGTTTCATCTGTGCTAGTGATCGTAACTGGGTGCTGTGGCACCATGTCGAGTTCAACACAACCAAGTAATACTTACTGTGCAGCATGAGACACCTGCCCTGCACATCGATGGACAGCTTCAGCTGACCTGAGGGCAGAAAGCAAAAGGAGCAGGTAAGGGAGCTGATGTGGAACTCACCCTTGGAGATTTCCCACCAAATAGGCTTCAACAGCCTGACTGGCCAAAGACAGAGAGACCCCCTCAATACACACAGTTTCATCCTACGACCAGCTTCATCCCAGCCTCTCTGCAGCAGTTGCACAATGTGCTGCCTACTCCCGTCTCTGATCTTAAAACAGGGATTATAATACTTGACATTCCCACAGTTCCTCTGTCCCAGGTCCCATGTAAAAGAGTGGACCTAACATGCTGGTGTAAGGACTAGTGGCGTATCGTGCTGTGGAGACATGGTGTGAATCAAAGCCAGTGGGTGCTCCTAGAGCAACTGCACCCACACAGCCATGTTTCTGAGCTGTTTCTGATTTGTAGCCAGTGCCAAGCTAAGGGGGAGCAGAGTTTGAGAGCAGAATATGGCACAGAGCAAGTAATGGCCAGAGGGAGTAGAGGACTGAGAGGTTCAGACCAAAACAACTGGTTCTGAGTCCTGGTGGAAGAAAGGCCAATTCCTTAGAGCGCTGCTTTGTCCAGGAAGCCAAACCCAGACATGCCCCAGCAGCACTGGGAGCACAAGACCAGGACATGGATGCTGTTCAGAGAGAGGAGGAGCTGAAGCCAGCTGCCCTCTCAAGCCAGATGCCACGCAAACACCTCCAGCCCTGGCAGACAAAACATCTCCCATTGTTCAGGCCTACACTTCTCCAGCCACATGGAGAGAAGCAGATGGCAAGGGCCTGGCCTCTTGCCTGCCCACAACCTCAAGACAGGAACATCTGCTAACATTATTACCATCACAAAGCAGTGGGGCTTGTCCCCAGTGAGAAAGCCCAGAGTTTAATCAGTCAAGTTCACTTTACTAAGAAAGAGATGTGAAGCCTCCCCAGCTCTAAGCCCCACATGCTGGCAGAGTGGCCAGTGCACAGCTAGGACAGTGCAGAGAGTCTCCTGTGTATGCGGCAGATCGCTGGGTCATGGCTTCATTGAGTACCCTGGCCATTCCAGTCCGAGGACTGAAGCATCAGCCTCAGAGAGACCTGGGAGAAGAAGCAACGCAAGACATGCGCATACGCAAGCAATGCCCACAAGGAGAATGCACCAGAGCAGAGCCAGGGCCATGGTACAGCAGGCTGCATTAGCTCTATGTAACCAGGGCGCGGCATCTTTCATTCCAGGATCTCACTCTGCTGGCAGCAGTACCAACCACAGCACTTAGCATCCATATGGCAGATGACTTGTTATTGCTACCACTGTGCCAGTCATTAGTCACAGCCCCATTGTTCAAAGAGAGAACAGAGAGCCCCATCAATGACAACTAACTTTAACACCCCCTTTCGGCTGGATTTGCGACTTCCAGCCTTCTGAAGATGCTTCCAGCAGCCCCATGAGTTGCAATCAGCTCTTTTTTGGGCCTTGCCAAGCTAACAGGGGTCCACTTGGCATGCAGAAGCCAATTTGGCCTGAGAGGCTTTTTACTCCTAGACAGCAAACTAGTGACACTGCCATCCCAAGCAAGCAGCCTGGGCATTGCTCCCATAATCATCTGCCTGATGCACCATGGGGGGTGGCATGTTGCCATTGCTGGGGTTGGTACACCATGCTTTCCAACTGTCACAAATGTTCAGGCTGTTTCCTGTGACCAACTGGAGGCTTCTTGGTGAGCTGTTATGCATTGGGTCTCATAGCCTGTGGGGGTCGTGACAAGAATAGCACAGTGTTTGCCCACAGAGAACAAAAGCGGCCATTTTTACCATGCCCATCACAGCAAAGGCAAATACTCCCCACTGCCCGAAAGATAGTAGTGCAGGGTGCTGGCCTCCCTAAAGGGTAAAACAAAGGCAAGGGCTTACCTGTGGGAGAAATGGCACGTAACATTACACTTCCTGCTTCCCCAAGTCCCATACTGCACCAAAGGACAGGGACCAGAATGCAGCTGTGTGCAGAAGTGACCCCAATGCCAAATGCAAGTCAACGCCACGGTAGCAGCAATGGAGCAAACACACAATGCTTACAGCAAACACACAGCCTTATACAGGCACATGTCACTCCACTCTGGAGTAAAGTTATCCATCAGGAAATGGGAGTAACGAATCTGTAGAGGTCCCCTGTCCACACCCTTTGTCAATGCATCTGGGAGCAGCTGTTTGCTCAATACAACCTGACTCTGCCACCATTGCCTCTTAGTGGCCAGGTGCTATAAAAGCACCAGCTGCAAGCAGCTACAGTAGCTTGGAGTCATATCTACAATGAAGCAGCAGCAAGTTCTGGCCAGGTTGCACCTTAAGCAAGCAAAAATCAACACAACCACTCTGTGCAGGAAGACCTCTGGGATCCTGTACTAAAAAAATCATTGAACAAGTCACTTGCCCTCTCTACACTGTGACTTCACCATCTGTAAAGCAGAAATAATGAAATTCGTCATCCGTGTAAAGTGCTTCGAGAACTAGGGATGAGAAGCCTGATGTTATTAAAAGCTGACATTGGTCAGACACCACAATGTTTGGGAGTTACCATTCCTAAGAGCTGCTAAATGCCACATACCCCAGAAAGGATCCTTGAGTGGGTTTGATGCTCTGGGTGGATTCCCAAGGGCCACAGGGATCTCTAAACAGGTAGTTAAGCCAGCTGTAAGGTTCTTGACATTGCCAGGGTGAGAGCAGATGGGCTAGATAGACAAGATTTGGCTCCGGGAACTTTCTAGTTACTTTTCTCTGGAGATCCTCCAATATTTCATTCCCATCTAGGTATACGTGGAGTATGAGAAAACTCTACCATAAAGCCCTGGGCTAGATCCAGGCCAAAAGACTAATTTCACTCAGTTCCTTAAAAGCCCTGAAAATATGTTGTTGTTTTTGTTATTTAAATTTATATCCTACTCTATCCAGAAAGGCTCAGAGCTGCTTACAGTAAGCGACAAACAAGCTCATTCCCCAAATGACACCCCATTCTAACTGTTCTGTGTTGAGCTGAAACATATTTTTTTAACATTTTTCATGAACCAAAAAAATGGGGGGCAGGGGGTGGGGGGGACTAACTTTTAACCAAATGTAATGTGTCAAAACAGACTGCCTCATTTCATTTTCAAGCTTAATTTTCCTTTAAATACAACTGAAGTCTATTCAAACCAAACATCCCTTTGCATCAAAGAGTTTTGTTCTGGAAGTGTTGAAATAAACCATTTTCACTTTTTTTTTTTCAGAACTTCTCTTAGGATTGTTTATTTCAATGAAAATTCATTAGTGAACTCAACACAAATTTGCAAGATGTTTCAATCCGCCCAAATCTAATTTTTTTTCAGTAAAAATGGGACCACCAAAAATGTCGCCCAGCTCTGGTTCTGACATATCACCTTAACTCAGTTGTTCTCAAACAGGGTGCCACAGCATCATGGGGTGTTACTAGACCTTTTCAAGGGTACAGTAGTGCCACCACTGTGGTCACTTGAAACTGCCCCACATACTACGTTTCCAAGAGGGTGAACTACTACTGCCTTAGCCACTTAAAGCAGCCTTAAATCTGACTCATACAGGCATCTAGTTAACCAAAGTGCTTGCAGCTTTGGTATTATAGCTTCTGCTTGACTCCGACGTTGCGGGTGCGGGTGAGACAGGGAGAGAAGCATAGAGTCGGGGTGCAGACAGAAAGAACGCTTGAACTGTTCAAAAAATGTTACTGATTGGGAACCAGTGCACAGAGAAAACACCAGATTTTATCCCAGCTAGTGTAAATCAGTGCAGCCCTATTGAAGTCAATGTTTATTTACTCCAGCTGAGAATTTGGCCTTTGGTGTTTAACATGCTACCAGAACAAACCCAGCCTTTGGACCCCCACTTTAACCCTTTTTCTATCTTCAGATCTCTGAAACCGTGGGAACAATCTTGTTGTTCCACAATTAACATTTAACAATGGTTATGCTGTGAAAGCAAAAGGATCCCATCTAACCAAGCGTGACCAGGAGTCAGCCTGCTAATGAATGGGGACCGCAAGGAGAAAGGAAGCTTTTGTGCAAGGATAACTTTGGGGGAGTGGGGAGAGGAAGAGCATGTGAGAGAATCAGACCGAGGAGTGGCTAAGGGGGATCTCATCTCCCTGAAAGAGCATGTGGCACTCCTACATCCTGGGCTGAGCTGAAATAGAGCTTGAAGCAGATAACAAGGGTGCAGCAGGGGTGAGAGTTTTTAAAGTCATTTGAGGTTCATTTTCTGCCCACTAGTTCTGCCCACTAGCAACAGTCTATAAAGGAGTACTCCAAGTAGGCAATGGTCAGAGGAGCAGAGCATGGTGTGCTGAGGCACCTAGTTGGTTTGATTATGCTGCATGCAATTATACAACCATTATCTATCATTATTGGTTTATCATAATAATGAAGGCCCTGTTTCACTGGGTGCAACACAAGTAATTAACAAACAGAAAGGGGAAGGACAAAAGCAATGCAACAAAGGCACTGAACTGTATGGAAAGTGTTAACCTCCCTCTGGTGCATTAGAGATTTATCCCAGTGGTCTCATCCAGTGTGAAAAGCCTTTTCATCCTATAGGGAATGGGCTGTAATGCTATAATGATCTCTCAAAACAGATTTTTCCCAGCCTTGCTCTAGCCACTGGGATAAACTTTAACTATAAATGGATGCTTAGGAGACAACTGAAGCTGAATTTGAGGATAGAGTCTCTTGAACTAGGGAGTGGGATTCCAAATGGCTTATATGATCCTTGCAGTGGGATCCCCAGCCTTTACCAGCTTGGTACTGGTTTCAGCAACCCTAGGGGGTTGGAGCTGTGAAATGACTTCTGTTTCTGGAAGGAGTCTGAGAACCGGTGGTGCAAGAGCCTGAGGAAAGGATTTGTTAAACAAACAAAACTCCAACCACATAGAAATAGGGTTTCAGTGGAGGCATTAATATTTTCTCAGACAGGCAGTCTGCTGCTCTTCCCACTAATCTCTGCTGGAAGGAAAGGCAGCCCCTTTCCTTGCAC